AGTCCTTATCTTACTGTCGTGGGTTCAAATCCCACCGAGGCGCCGAGTTTCTCACAGTTGGGTCAATATGAATCATGCAATATCTCTTAAAAAAGGACACGATCGCACTTTGGTTCTCCGTAAAATGGGAGAAATAAATGAAAGATCTATGTCTTAAAACATTTGCCAACTTTATTGCCGGAGGCGACATTTTCTGAAGACTTATTTTGTCATTTGCGAACGACGTCCTGCCTATATTTGTCGTAACCTAAGGATTACGAACAAATGAGCTCTACACCTCCCTAGAACTGCCTTCTTCCAGGGCTGCAGACACTATTTGATTGCATTTTGAGACCTTGTAGCATTGCAACAATGGATTAAAGTGTCCTGAAGTTAACTGCCAAGGTACTTTTGCGAAGACTTTATGGAAAGTTAATTGACAGACATGTGTTATTCCCTCATGTCATGATCCCGGTTTTTGTTAGAAGCAGATAAAAGACGGCACGCTTTGTACACTGAAATAGACCCTTGGACATTCAAAACAATCCTTAATCGCTGAAAGTTATTTTAATAAGCTACCTGCTCGTCTAGACCTTTAATGGCTTGTTAGAACTTAGCGACAACAGGAAACATGATCTTGCCACAGTCGGGATCACGAAAGCTTTTATTAACATAAAAAATAGAGAGCTAGCGTCAGAGAATGGAATCTTAAGGGAGGACTACCATGCACGGTCACACAGCCCGATTCATTTTAATCAACACAAACGAGCTGCTTCTGGTCAACTAACAATGTCCTTACCTAGCTCAGAAGCTTCCCTCCGACGTTGAGGGCTCTTAGTTTTTGCGAATGGAGCTGACGTTGGACAATGTCGAAGGTTCTGCGGAGATTGATTTATACACCATCGACTTTAAAACCAGCATCTAGGACTTTAGTCAAGACCTCCAAGAAACTCATAAGATTTGGGAGAATGAGAAACGCCCTCGTTTTCTTCTAAACGTTCTACCTTAGCATGCTTCTTAATTTCTATTTCCTGCAATAAATGAAAATCAGACTTGTTGGTCTAAAGCTGCCTGCAATCACACAACTATTTCCGGTTCAGTCCAGTTTTTTGAGGGGAAGGTAAGTTAAAATTTTTGAACTCCATAATTGCTACAAACGACAGGAATACACCAAAAAAATCGGACAAGGAGACATCGAATGCCGTGATCGGGGCAACAACGGAGGTAGGTCAGTTGTTCGAAAGTCGTCGCCTATCCCTGTGCTAATTCCTCTCAACATCTGATAAGAGCAAGCATTTGACACCCAAATACATGCTGCAGATCGGAAGTACTATGCATACTAAGCCGATATAACGAAAAAAGAAGAAGTTCTTCGGTTATTCTTCATGGGCGAAATTGACTACGTTAACAGGACAAACATAATCTTCAGTAAAACGGAAGCCCAAACTCTTCTCGCCGAAGAACCATTGAAAAATCAAAACACAGCCAACAATCAACTCGCTTGTCTGAAAGCTATAAGTCTAGATGACTCCAAGTTGATGACCCTCAGTGATTCCATATTGCATACGCGTACGTCTCCCAAAAGTGCCCATAGTGGATTCTCCGCTGGGGATTAGAATACCACTCATAGGGTCTCCCAATAACAATACAGCTAAGTGGAAGTACAAGTATATGAAGCAGCTAACTAATGAATCTCATTACAGCACCAGCAGCATTTATGAATTTCCCCAATGGATCCAAGACCTTACAGTGGGTATTGATAGATGTCTCTTGTCTTGTGAAGCCACTACCTTGTTATATTGTGCGTCAGACGATTTAGCAATTGACTGAATAATCCAACGATTAGGGGACAACCCTTTTGATACCTCGGCGCAGCATGGTATAGAACTCTTGAAACTCTACCTTAGGAACTACTGTAAATTCGACAACGAGGAATAACAAGAAGAGGAGGGAATTGCACTGGGCCTACCAATATCAGGACTGCTCGCCAAACCAGTATTGTGACGACCAGAAGAAGTTTTTCAAACTCTCAAGGCCAAAGTGTGGCTTCATTATATCGATGACACCTTTGTCATTATGAGAAACTGCGAAGTCGAACTGCTACATCAGAAGCTGAATGATGCCTTCCCACTCAGTCTGCTTAACCGTGAAGAGAGCGGGAGGCAGCATGCCGTTTCTGCAAGCGAGAATGCGAAGGTTGGACGACGGTAGTCTCGCGATAGGCGATCCTGAGACTATCCCCAATTATGGAGGCAGTCGGCCCGCGGTTCAAAAAAAAGTTGCGTTTGAACTCTCTTTCATCGGGCCTACTAGTGTTGCAGTAAGACAATCTCCTGAGGAAATAGCTAGCTTACCTGTATCAGTTGTTTCGATCTAACTGATATCTGACCAGTTTTGTGAAAAGCTACCTAAAGCGTCAGACACAAACTGGGGACCGACCTCAAATGGCGGAATCGTGGCATAGGAATTCTTTTCCCTTCCCAATACGTAAGGGACATCAGACGTGATCGTCCGGCATCTAAACCGGTTCAGTATCTGCATGGTCTACACGCTACAGTCCTCACTACGCTCAAATTTATCTCGAGTAAAGGATCCCATTCCCACACAGCAGCAGACAAATATGATCTATCGCATCCCGTATGTTATTTGACGCTGTGTGTATGTTAGTCATTCGGGCCGACGCCTGAAAACTCGTACCAATGGATACGAACTAGCTGTCCGTCTCCGTGACCCACTGTCTCTAGTCTTTGAGCACGCACTCCAGTGTGACAACCGATTCGATTGGGATCACACTGAGGTCATCGCCACGGCCAACGCAGATCGGGAGAGCGAATTCCTAGAGGTCTGGTACTCCAATGCAGACAGTATCAACCGCTGCCTGGACTTACGATCACGGTCCACTGAGCCATGCCCTATGCCGCACCAGCGGCTGCTAATCCAGCCTCCTGAAATTCGACTAACCAACCATTCTCCCTCCTCCAACGCGGGAAGCCGAAACTGTTTTCCTCCGCTCCTCCCGGCTCAGAACCTACCATTGACGCAGTGCCCATCAGAGCCCTCTCACACGCTTGTGATCCACCTGTCAACATCTATCCTATTGCGCCATTTAATCTAGTGTAACTGACCCACTTTCTTTTTAGTCGTCATTTCGTCTGACGACTGGTTGGTGTCATTAACTTGAAAATTCACTAGTGCAACTCGATTTTTCCGAAGGATCTCTTCCTTTTTTCATTATGTCGACTCGTATGACATAGAGGAATTAGTACATTGCCATTTGTCTTCAAACGCCAAGGCAGGTGTCGGTAAGCACGCACAAAGAGCTAGGATAGGCAGTAAAAAATCATAAACGGATGTCATCAGAATATATAAATAGTATTGCAACTGTAGAAAATTGATGCCCAAGGCGTCAAAAGAACGACGGACGAACGATACTGCTATGCATAATTATATACTGGTTCAGATTCCCTCTAGGGGCTTCTACAGATGTAAAAATTGCGATATCCGCAGGCAGACCATTCCAAACTTCAAACAATCTGTTGGAGAAAAAGAACATCAGTATGTCCACCCCTGACCCAATCAAACGCAGGTTGAGTTGATGCCCTCGCAAGTTATTTGTGGTTGCCAGCCAAAAAATCTCCAGGTGCAAAACAACAGTCCTGACCGCAAATGACGCGGGATGTCTGTATCAGGTCGTCCCGTCGCTGCCTGTAACTCTTGAATATAAGGGAAATTCTTCGAATCCTTTTCATCTTCGATAGTTAGCTACCTGTCCTAATTTTCGGCCCACAGAGAGTGGAAGAGGGATGGCCATCTTTGCGGGTAATTACTCAAGCATTGACCCACGTATTCCAATAGATCAAGGTGACTTGTCCGATTTAATTTGGTCGAAGAACCGTCTTATACCTTTAACAGGAATGACAACGACTTCGGTGACGTCAGTATTTTTTCATATTTCATATCTCCGATTGTTCATTAGAGGTTTTGCCAAAAAATCTGTAAATAAAACTGAAACGGATGTCCGACTTTCTGCAATTCGTGGGTAATACGTTCCTTTTGCTATATTTTATCACTTTATTTTCTCTTTGTTCTTAACCCTACTGCGGATTAATCCGGAAGACCTCTCGAGGCATGTAGTACCTTCTGCATTGAGCCAGCGCTCAATGAAAATCGTGGTAATCCATATGTGCTTGCGACGCTCCTAAGGATATTCATCATATTCGACAAATGACATGGACTGTGAAATTTTAATTACTTATCGGCACCTATGTCTCTTTTTTGTTTCCTTTTCTTATTACTTTGACCCGCGTAGGTTAAAACCAGGATCTTCTCATTTTCATGGTTGAATGGACAACAATTAGGGGCTTAAAAAACTCAAGAAGATATTTGGATGGCTACCGTAAACCAAATGGCTTAATAGTTGTACTGCGTTTGTCAGACTAACCTGCTGGGAATATAATCAGGCACTATTAAGACATAGGATGAACAGCCGACCATCCAAAGCTCCAAGATTCTTTTTTATTCTATGATAGAAAAATGGTATACAAGGGCTTCGAAAAAGTAATCAATTGATACTGTAAAATGTCAGCAACAGGTTGTGCCAATAAGCGACATGAAATGCAACTAACAACGTCTGCTGTTTTTAGGATAAGGACCGAACGTTATAGAAGTTTCGTCCCATGTTTAAAATAAGCCGAAATTGGCCTATTTAATTAACTTGAAATTATCAACACTGTAATTCCGCCTGAGACCAGACTGAGCCAAAGGTACTTTAGTCCTGTAAAACTTAGCAGGTTTCACAAACCAAACCCTAAATACGCAGTGCTAACTATGCGCACTATAGGTAATTGTAGTCATTCAGTAGAAGACACGGGATTCGCGTCACCTACAGGACGGATGGCTAAATCCTCAGCCGCCGGCGGATGTAATTCCAATCGCGTGTACCCACAACTACCGTCCATAATCTTCTCTTTGCTGATGACTGCGCTGTCAACGCCACCTCCGAATGAGACATGCAAAAGAGCATGGCCCTCTTCACCGTTGCCTGCGGCAACTTCGGCCTGGACACTAACATAGCGAAAACGGTCGTGCATCAACCGCCACGCTACGCTGCCTACAAAGCACCCCAAATCAAGGTAAATAGCGCCCAACTGCAAATAGTGGACAATTTCATCTACCTGGGCAGCACCCTCTCCCGCACGATCGAAACCAATGAAAAATAGCTCATCGGATTTCCAAAGCCAGGCAAGTCTTCGATCGTGTACAAAGCACGATCTGGAATCGCCACGGTCTCCACCTCAATACCAAACTGAAGATGCAGAAAGCGGTCATTCTGCCGACGCTGCTGTATGGAGCAGAGACCTGGACGGTATACATGAAGCAGGCGCAGAGGCTCAATCACTTCAATCCCAGCCGTCTTCGACGCATAGTGAAGTTTATGTTGCAGGATCGGATCCCGGACACTGATGTACTGGAGCGGACGGGAACCCTCAAAATCTACGCCATGCTGAAACAGCCGCAAATGCGTTGGAGCGGCTACATCGTGCGAATGGACTACGAGTGGCTGCCCAAACGACTTTTCTGCGGAGGGGTCGTCACGGGTGGCTGCCGGGAAGGAGGCAAAGTCTGCCGATACAAGGACGCCCTGAAGACCTCCCCGAAGCGTTTGTAAATCAACCCGGCCAACTTGGAAGACCTCGCCCGAGACCGGCCGGCATGGGGGGCAGTGAAGACGGGCGCAGCAATCTACGAGCTCAACCGCATCGCCGCCGCCAAAGCGAAACGCGATGCTCGCGAATCTCAAATATGCCCACCTCACAGCGCCAACGCTTAACCGTCCCCGACCTGCCCACGTTGCCAGCGGGCGTCCCGGACACCAGTCAGCCTCGTAGGACATCTTCGTACCAACTTCGGCATCTGGATTACATCAGCCGCTGTCTCCTTATCCAACTCTGTCCCATTCTCGACGCCGAAATGAACACTGACCGCACTCCCGGACTCCCCACGTCCATCCTCCTCCTCCTCCTCCTCCTCCTCCTCCTCCTCCTTCTTCCTCTTTTTTTTCTTCTTTTTCTTCTTCTTCTTCTTCTTCTTCTTCTTCTTCTTCTTCTCCTTCTTCGCCATTGCCTCAACATCCGCTACGGCGGATCCTGTGCCCACCACCACCGCACACAATCCTGACACATCAACAAATATCAACCTCTCCACCATAAAAGCCAGCGATGTGGACCTTATCCATACCTGTCTTCATTGCGACTGCACCTTCATCTCACACATCGGCCTGGTCGGTCACTTGGGAATCCATCGCTCGGCGCCTGACGAACCAGTGCCCGAAGCACCAACCTACACTCACCGCCTTCGCCTTCACTGTCCACACTGCATCCACACATTCACCCACCGCATGGGTCTATAAGGTCACATGCACATTCACGAAAACCTTTGGTAGACAACCGCCAGTTAAACCCCACCATGACCTCTTCCTCCACCTACATCACACAACATCATCATCCAACCGAAGCCTCCAAATGCTACCTCCAGCGCAAGCGGGATGTGTGCGCCTAGGCTCCGTCTCCATGGTATTTCTCTGCTGCACGTGTGATTCAAATGTGAGGCTATCACGGTGCGTCAAGCACTCTGGCTTGGAATACTGCTGAATGACGTCCCAACTCAGTCCACGTGGTCCGTCCAGTCGTGTGTGTATATGTGAAGTGACGGATTGGAGGGCTGAGAGCCAGGCTGAAGCGGCTCCTTCCAAAAGTGACCGATGGCCCTCTTGTAGCCATCATGACCAGTCTGGCGTCATTGTTCAAGACCTCGCTGCCTCAAGGTCATTCACCCTTTTTCAGTGAATCGTTCCAGACGCGCTGATTTGAAGTCACAAGACCGACAACTCGGGCATACCTGCGTCCGCACAGCCGCAGCTGCCCATGCGGCCACTTGAACGCACCTCCCCATGAAACCTCAGTCTAAGCCACTGGGACACCACCCCTCGGCAAATGCAACACACACTGACTGGCCACCATTTGATCTTGGCCCACGAGCCTACAAAAGTGGCTGCCACCACTGTCCCAGGGACTCTCTGGCATGACTGGACGCAGTCAACACCAGCCCTGGCTTTGCCAGTAGCCACTGCCGCCTGAGAGGACAACTGTGGGTTTTGTATACGTTAAACTACTCATTCAGGTTCCTTCTGTCTTTTCATTACAACTTGAGATCTGGCCCGACGATGGTAGCGCACAGACAGGGACACACTCACACCGCTTGGTCGCAGCACTCTCACGCATGTAAGGTGTACGCCGCTCAAACTCCGTTGTGTGAAATCCTGATGCTTGGGCCTGGGGGCCAGACCGTGCATTTGGCGCGCGCAGACAAGGTCATTAGATACGTCAACCGCCGCGCCCATTCCCCGCACCTGTGAACTAACCGGCTCGGACAGCGACTGGGGCCTGGGAATGGGAAGAGAGAGTGAGATCAACGACTCAGCACATTTTCCTCACTATGAACAATCTAACGCGCTTGAATCTATCACGGTGCGCTAAAAACCTTGTCGTGGAAGGTTGCCAACTGACGGGATAACTTGGTCGTCTCAGTCAGCCCAGTGTTATGTATGTTTGTGTTTAGTGGCCGGCTGGTGGTCTAAGGGTCACGCTTCAATGGGTCCTTCTTAATGTGGCCTTTATGGCACTCCCATTACGTGGGATACGAGCCAGGTGTAACGGTACGCGTAAGTGTGGCCACGGCCGCAGCAGCTCCTTTTGGTTTTGATTAAAGTCCTGGTCATTTGCTATGTGGACGAGGGGTATGGTGTGGAGCGCCAAGTTGCTAGCTTGGCCGTGTCATCCTACCGAGCTCTGCCCCACCCCCGTCTTTATGACTCTGTCTTGGAATCCGGGCCCAGGTGCGGGAGCAGGAGAGAGTGAGGAAGACGCTGCGAAGTTCTACATTCACTATAAACTAAATCACGCCCAAGTCGCCGTGCTCGCTTCACCTTGTTGTGGAACACACGGTAGATGTCGCCGGCAGACGGTAGAACTATTATAGTTGCGCATCAATGGAAACTCTGTTTTATAAATCCTGATTCTTGACAAAAACTGCAAAGGGATCGCGATATTAAAAACAACATATAATAATTTATCGATATTGTAATAATATTAATAAATCAGCTCTTATTGAGTCTAACTGTAATGGGCGATATTTGGAGAATCCTACGCAGGGCATGGCAATGGTGATAGAATAGAGTAACGTGGAGTAGTGAAATAATTTGTACAAACACGCTACCAACATATTTTAAGTAACATTTGTAGAGACCGTATATTTACGACTCGAAATGGAAGGGTTGGTACGAGCACTCCAAAAAAGTAAGGAAAGAATGAGGGATGGCAGCACGCAGTCGAGCTAGGAAATGGTGTGAGCAAAGCGCATGTGGGCGTCCAAAATCTACTTAGTTTATCCAAACGGTTTTTGTCAGGACCACTAAGGCATGCCAACCCGCATGTAGTTGTAGTTTGTTACTTACGAAAGACATGAGGCTCGGGAGAGAGCCCGTAAGGCACAACGCAGCTAGTGAGTTCAGTAAGAACGATCGGTGAGCGTCCCTCCACCAAGGCGTGAGTCCGTATGTAAACAAGTTCCCACCCGAAGAAGCTGACAAAATTGGAAGCTTAGGCTCAAGGAATAATGATCTTACCCAGAGTCGACCCCAGTCGAATCAGTAGACGTGATCACATAGGACATAAATATGCATAATTATTGATATTAAAAAGGCTGACTGAAGGCCTTGGAATGACTGCCTTTTATCAAAGAAATTTATTTCTGATATCAGTTCCTTATAGGTAGACTTGGCGCTGGCAGGACTTATTCCAATGTTCCTGCCAAGCCATTTGTTTATGTAACGGCTGTCGTCTACTGGTACCAAAAAGAATGCAAATTATAAACGTATCTCAGTTGATGAGTGCTTACAGACAAAGATAAGGCCCCTGGAATCACTGTTGCTGGCTTGTTTGCCGCCATCAGCGGTGGTATTTCAATCACAGCCTACTTACCTGCTATTACAATCCAAAGTAAGTTGTTAATCGAGAAACGCTGTGACTGCCGCAATACCGGGCACATTCCGTGTAGACTGTGATCGGGTGATGTACGCCGATTTATGCAGACTGAAAACGAGCATTTACGTTTTGCCTTGTAGCTGAGGGCCCATAGTCCATGCGGATGCAGTGAGTTCGGTACTGCAGTGGTGATAGCGTTGCAATTTAATCAAATGACTCAGGGTTTCAATTTTGGAAGTGGATATCGTCGGTTAATTACGGAAAAAAGGACAAAAGTGGCCATTCCAGTACCACCGCCCAAGTCTGTAAACACTTATTAATCACTGATTGTCAGTCGACACGCTCCAGCCTGCCTAGACTGTTGACCCTTCATTCCGAGGCATAGATGGTATGATCATCTCCGTCCTGCAGTCACGATAGATCTATGCATACCACCCCCCTTTAATGTCTCGTTTGATTAAGGAAAGACAACATGGATGCGCGAAAAATGGTAGCTGTGTACAAGATTCCACTGAGCTTCTTGGAACAAATGTAAGATAACAGGTAGGCAGATAAACGTAGACGTAAACACAAGAATCTACGGTACTACCCTCCGAAACCTAAGATCGGCGAGAAACGAAGCTTACTTGTACACATTCACTACCCGCAGTGCACACGGCATGGGCGGTGAGGAAATTGAACGAATGAATTCGGGAGAGGAGAGGGGGATATATAAAAATGCAAAAAGAGAGGGCGAGTATAGACCACCGGCGACCAATCAATGAAGGCGTAAATATTGATCAGTGTTACATTATCGGCGAGCCGAAGGGTGAGTAACACGCGTGCAGGCATTTCCCGACGGGCGAACTAGGTGGATCGAAGGCGGTATGCGTGGGCGGCCACGCTGACGGTCGTGAGCGCGATCTGCCATGGAAGCATCGGAGAATCCAGAGAACTGTGTGAAACAGTAGTTTCCAGGCGATCCTCGTTCGCAACCTCTTTGTCAACGTCCGTTGTATGCAGAACGTCCTTATCTCTCGAGGATCAACAGGAATCACCACAGGAAAATCCTTGAGACCGACACTTACAGTTACACCAGATAAAAGTCTCGAAAACAAGTCGTTTAGTCTTTTTCACGACATGGCTCGGAAACTGTGGACGAAGACTGAATAGGAGGTGTGGTACGCATGACTTGGCAGAGGCGGTACAGGAAGTTGGCGCAATCGTTGTTGACACAGCGGGGGATTTGGGAAAAAACCTTGTCAGATAGTCAAACATTTAGAGTTTAGCAACAGAGCGATCAAGGTTCGACGTGGGGATTGAGCTGTTGTCCAGTAGGATCGGTGAGGAGTGGTCGGCTCACTTCTCCGTATCATTTGGGGAATGCAGGATAGTAGTTGGCTGGTGCTTAAACCGCTTGATCATCTAGTTGACAGTCGAGTGATGGGCTATTGGTTGTATACGGTTACAGCCTAAAATACAAGAAAAAGCTGAGACGCAAACTTGGCATCGTTCTCAATCGTGACGATGGAAGGGACATCGAATATAACGACGGCACGATTCACAATGCTCTAAAAACCGCAACAGCGTCAGATCTCAGCAGGTGTGCGGCATTTAAGCGCCGGATGACATTTGAGCGAAGTAAAGAGGTTAGAACAGTTATTGGACGGAGACATGATACTTGAAGTATCTGAGTGAATCACATAAAACGCGATAGAGGAGCCGCTGGGATGTTTGGGGTGTAGTGCAGAGACTAAAAGCCTTTGGATGAAACAAAACAGACGAAGGGTATAAGAAGAATGGTTATCGACATTTTTTCATGGGTGATTGTGCTTTTCTATAAAAGAGGAATCAGTCCAACCATTGAGATAGTGATCCTGTTAAATAAAGCATTGGCCATGTAGTAATGATGAAGAATTGGGTACCAGTGAGGAGATTTCAACTTGTTTAAGAAATTAGAATCTCCAAAGGAACACTAATTCCCAGTCGGTGATTTGGGAACACACGGAATTGGGAGACCTTGGCTGTATGATTTTCAGAAGAGCCTTGATTGAAATGCGTGTATAATTCAGACTTCGACAGTTCGACCGTCGTTGCTGA